AGGCTCAGGTGGTGGGCCAGTTGGAACTCATGATGGGTTTGTTAGGATGTAACTCCATCGTGAAGTCCAGGACTGATAGGCACTTCTTAGCTTTAACAAGGACACTCTTGGTGGCATTTATAACAATCACTGCTAGGAAGAGGTGGGAGTTGAAGAAATCCACATGGCAAGTATAGACATCATGTTCATTGTATATAGCTAAGAAGGGGATGGAGGAAGTCAGCGAGAGGGGTGATCTGATTCAAAAATTTCAAGGGTATTTTGATTCTGTTGATCCTATTTGTGGATTTGAGAAAGTCAAGTATACTGAAGTACCTAGTCCCGTGGCTGGTAAATGAAAGCCATACAGGTACATGCTAAGTCAGGGCGCTTGTTTTTTTCATTGCCACCTACACAGACAAGACCACCTTGTGCAAGGCCACGAGGCAGGCATGGAGGGGGTGAGCCCAGGGCTTCAGAATAAGAAGCCCTGCCTCTACTGTGTGACTTTAAGGATGTCACTCACCCCTGAGGCTCAGCCTACTGGTTGTCTCCACAATGCGCTGTAACAGCAGCTATCTGAAACACTGATGAGGATTAAATGCATTCTATGTAAGCACTCAATAAATGTCAGCGGTTATGAGCAGTTGCCTTGCTTTATCGCCATTGTTCTGTTGTGGTGTGGCCACGATGCCAAACCCTAAACAGAAAGGAGGTCTGGTTCTGATGGAGGGAGCCGGGGCTACTCCACACCACAGGCCCTGTGCGTGCCAGAGCAGCAATAGCCCTGCAGGGGGGACAGAGGACTGATGTGCCTCCTTAGCTCATCAGCCCCGTGCAACTGACTGAAGCCGATGGGCTCCCAGGGGCAGGAGCCTTTTCCTGCCAGACCCGGGTCTACTCCCGCTCCAGTGCCTGTGATTTGTCTCAACATATATGCTGCTCCTACTGAGATCCGTGCACAGTATTTGGACACATGGCCTCATTTCTGAGACTCTTCAAATGCTATTTGTTGTACAAACCTCCAGTGGAGCAAATCCTCCACAGAGCAGCCTGGAGGTCAGCTGCACTGTGGGGCTGGAGGGTCAGCTGCAGAGTCCCCAAGGAGTTCCAGGACAGAGCCCTGTCAGCGTGGGCTTCAATAAGACAGGAGGCCACGCATGGAGTCGTCCAAACACCCTCCTGGATGACAGTATCTGATGGCAGTGACGGGTATGGAGAGAGCTGAAGGACAGCGACCTGTGTCCTCGCTGGGGGGCCTCGCTTCTGTCGGAACGAGTTACCCAACCCCAGCAAAGCTTCCTGCCACCCTTAGAATACTCTGTGTCCAAAAAAAAAAGGGACAATTTTTCTTTTTTCTAACATTTGCTTCTGTTTATATAGCTCCCTATGTTCATTTTAGAGTATTTGGATGACATAGAAAAGAATAGAAGAAACACAGAAAAGAAAAAGCACACACGATCTACCATCACAATTGATTATTGTTGACATGTTTTACTGTTCTGTGTGCATAGGTATGTAAGTGTGGATACACACATGTATGTACATATATATATATATATATATATATATATATCTTATCTATATCATCTCTATGTATGTATATGTGTATATATGTGTTGTTCGTAAAAGTTAATACACTGAATAAAGTTTGATAATGCTCTTTTCATTTAATTACGTACTATAAAAATGTCATTAAGTATATGTCTAGAATCTAGTATTGAATTACTTCATTCCAGCATTTACTTAATTAGTCTCTCTTGCTGGGCATCTAGTTTCTTTCATTCTCTGTCCTGTTGAACATGTTTGCAGGTACACTTTTGTCCCCATTTCTGGCAATGTCCTTTGTAAACTGCTATTAGTAAAATTGTTCATTGGAAGGATATCCACACTTAAAGTGTTTGGTAATTACTACCCAGTTATCATCCAGAGAAGATGCACCTATTTACCTTTTTTTGGTGCCACACTGAAAATTCTGTACAGTCCCACCTTTCTGTACCTGAACATCCTTTCTTCTCCTTTTTCTACAAGGCACACTGGTCTTCTCCTGCCCTAGCACTGGGATTTACACTAACAGCTCTTCTGGTTCTTGAACTTTGGGACTTGGGCTGAAATTACATCCCCTCCCCCACCTTCCCAGGTCTCCACCTTGCAGATGAGAGATGGTGGGACTTATCGGCCTCCACGATCATGCCAGCCAGTTCCTCATAACAGAGTTTCATGTGTATGCAGTGTGTGCATGTGTGCGCATGTGTGTGTGTGTTACACGTTCGCGTGCAGGTGTACACCCCCTACTGGCTGTTCCTCAGAAGGGCCCTGAGACCAGTACAACCTACTTCCAACCACACTGTTCCATACACACCTGTCCTTAACAAGCCATTCAGGCACTTTCCAGAGTGTAGGAGAAACAGTCTCCTTCCCAATACTCCCTGAAATATGGATAAGGGCGACACTATTAAGGGAGGTTTCCTTAGAGAAATCGTTATTGGATCTATTCACTCACCAGATAAACTTTAAGCATCCCAGGATGGAGATAGATTAGCAGAAAGCAGGAGACCTCTGCCGGAGCCGCTCCCCACCCACGCCTCCCTCTCCTTCCACCTCTCCAGATTGCTTTTATACAGAACATCATTATGTGAAACAGGCCTGAGAAACCCACTTGTGTGCCCTCAATAAGACTGTGGTGGGAATACTGTTCATTACATCATACAGTGTTTTCTTTATGAGGACTCCTGGGAACAATTCCTGTCTGGCCTCTGTGTGAACAACAGTTAGAATTTTCCTGAGCAATTGGTTTGTGTTTATCTCGCAGACATTGTGAACTGTATATCTGACAAGTTTTCTTTATTCCGTTGGCGGCTGTGGCGCTATGGGCTCTGCATGTGACTCACAGCGAGCAGCAGGTGTGCAGAAATGCAGCTTTAGCTTTAGCAGCTCCCATGTATTCTTCTCCTATCTTGGGCTACCTCACTTTTAATTTCTGCTATCTTGAGGTGCTTTATATCCCATTGTAAGCTACCCAAAAAACGTCTGCGAAATAAGATTTGGTTTACACTGAAAACTAGATAAATAAATCAGATGTGGATGAGCTGTGGAGGAATACCATGGTTTTTATCTATTTTCCTCAAAACTTGTATTACGTTCTGCATGAACATACTCCTACTAACAGAACTAAGGTCTAGGGCATGCAACTTAGAACTGTAACAAGAATGATCATAAAATAGTCAGAAAACCCAAATAAAGTTGCTGAAAATATTGGATTGACCCACCTCATGCTTGTGATGCAACTGAGGCGATGCCATTGAAATGGTAAAGCTTCTTGGGAGCAAGATGCACTTGCAGCTAATTATAATGAAAAGAGGAAATAACACTGCTGACTAGTGGAGTGGTGTGATGGTGTGGAAGCATGCCCTCTTACTGTCKGCAGGCAGCCCAGGGAAGTGAGATGGGTAGGCACAAGTGTTATTTTCATTCTGCTATGCTGCTAAACAGAAAGAAGGTCTCTGAGTCCCTGGCTGGGCTCTTCTGCCCAGGGACTTTCCAACTGTAGAAAATGGGCTCAATTCAAGAAAAGTGACAGTGTGAACTCCCACCAAAGTGGGTAGAGAGTTATCTGGGTAAAGAAGCACAACAAAACATGCTCCAACTACTAAGTTACCAGGATTATGACATCTGAAACCTTAAGGAGGTACCATCATACACCTATTCAAATGGATAAACCTGAAAAGATAACCATACCGAGCCCTAGGGAGGTTGTAAAGCAACTAGAACTTTCACAGACTGCTGGTGGGGATGTGAAATAGCACAACCATTTTTGAAAACAATTTGTCATGCTTTACAAAATTAAATACACATCGATAAGATGACCCGGCCATTCAGCTTCTAGGTGTTTACCCGAGAGAAATGAAAGAACAACGTGCATACAAAAATCTGCCCGTGAATATTCACTGCAGCTTTTTTGTAATAGCCAGAAACTGGAAAGAAAACAACAGGTGTCCATCAATAGGTGTATAGATAAATTCACACAACTGAATATATTTCAGCAAAAACTAACTTAATAAATAAAGAACTGATACCCACAACAACATAGATAGATCTCAGAATAATCATGGTGACTAAAAGTGTAGCATGATACCATTTATATAAAATTTTAGAGCATGTAACTCATCCGTAGTATCAGAAGCATACCAGCAATTGCCTATTACACACTGGGGTGGGAATAGCAGAAGGAAAGGACTAAAATCAGGACAAGGAAACTTTGGGTGTGATGCTCTGTTCAATATCCTGATTGTGGAAATAATTTCACATATAAATATATATCAAACTTATCAAACTGTATACTGTAAGATAACATCTCAACAAGGTTGTTTAAAAATTATTTTTTAAATGTTAGATAGAACATTTAACAGAACTTGGTGTCCCTGTTCACATTGATAGTAGTATGCTAATGCTCTCTTGGTTTTCCAGTTCTGTTGCAGCCCCAGTCTGTGTCCCCCACCCCCAAAGACCCCTTCTCATCTTGCTAGGGAAGTAGTATCAAAGAGCAGTAACAACAGGAAAACAGATATAAGCTTAAAACATTTTCCTATTGGACTTAACTGATGGGCTTGTTTAACCAGAGATTAGATGTGTTATTCCTTTTAAGGATACATTCTAGGAAAAGAATGATTTGATTTTACCCGGATGTGCACTAGTAAATCAATGGATATCCAACAACCTTCTAGCTAAGATTTCATGATACGGTATACTCAAAACCTAAAATATCCATTTTTCTTAACCCTGTTGATCTGGGCTTAAAAGACAAAGTTTGTTAGAGAGTCAGAAAAGATTCTAGTTCTGAAACTTTGAGGTTTGAGCCTTAGTTCTTTCATCTCTAAAACGGGTATACCAAAGCTGACCTAATAGATGTACGGTTAAGATTTAACCAGATTGTGGATGGAGAGAACCCTCCGAAGAGCAGGGCTGCTTGAAAAACATCCCCTCCCTCATCATGATGGAGCAGGAACTTCTCCCCTTCTTACCTGGAGCCAAAGTTTGTCATGTTGAGACCACTTCCCACCAGCAATGCACTGGAATGTCGCATTCTGTCCCACGTTCACCTCCACATTTTGGAGTCGTAGAAAATGAGGTGCTTTTCCTATGAGAGAAAGCAAAGGACAGGTGAAGATGGGATTCAATAGTCTGCAACACTTCCCTGTCTTGGGCAGCAGCGGAGGATGGGTGGACTTTGTGCCCAGGAAGAAGCCTGGCTCAGGGGAGAGCAGATGGATTACACACTGAGCYGGCACTGTTCTGTGAACTTGACACGCATTATCTCACTGAAACCTCAAAGATCCCACAAGGTGCATGATATCCCCATTCACAGATTAGAAAGTTAAGTCTCTGAGGGGTTACATGGTTCAGCACAGTCAGATATCTAGGACGTGGGGGAGCCAAAACATGAATCCAGGACTCTGAAGAGAATGAAGAGTAGAAGAGGGAGACGGGGAAGAGAACACTGGCTGTCACTCACTGCATGCTTCTACGGGACAGCTGCTGTATGCAAGCGTGATTCATTAACCCAACACAGTTGGTGGTGGTGGTCCCGTCTCTACTGCACAATGAATGAATGGAAGCACACAGGAACTTGATCTGGTTCACAAGAGTTTACACCCTTAACTCTAAGCAATGGGGTCTCCTGAGCATGAATGGGAAGTGGGACACTGATTCTGGGGACTGGGCATAACAGAGAAAAGCATAGTCAAAAAAAAAAAAAAAAGTCAGAGTGTCTGTGGGCATCAATCCTAGGATTAAGCATGTGCTCCATGATGGGTTCACTTCTCCCCTTGTTTATAGAGACAAGTTCTCCCGTCTAGAAGCTCTCCATCAGCCAAGAAGCTATGACTACAAGAGTGAGCTTCTGCCTTGAGCACCATGAAGGATCCCAACCATCAACAACAAAGTCAGGGAAGAACTGTGCCACACCTACCCCAGCATGGGACCAAGTGGGGAATTGTAACAAGATCAGGGAGGATCCACAAGAGACATTGCCCATCAGTCCAGAGGCAGTCACATACAAACTCCCCCCAGGACCAGGCCAGGGACCATGCTGAATGCTTTGCATGTTTTTTTCTAGTTTAACTCCATGGCATCCCTGTGAAGCCAATACTAGAGGTAGAATCCAACAAGTGTTATGTTTCCCAAGCCACACAGCAACAGTGAGAGACAGAGACAGAAGTCTGTCCAGTTCCATTTGACCCACATTTGGCTTGCACCTAGCATGTTCTCTTGCTTCCTGGCTTTGGGAATGACAGACCTCAGGGCTTGCATGTCCATGCTGACTCTCCAGGCTTTTCTTGTTGCTCCTAAAGATTTTGCAATGATCCTTTTTTTTTTTTTTTTCTGTTTATCCTGGGGTTCATGGTGTGACCTATCTTATGCACCAATCTGTGTCACTGCCTGTTAAGCTCAGCAAAAGCCATGAATCTTGGTGTGACCAGACAAGCTGACTATGAGAAAATATGCACTTCTGCCCAGATTTTAAATTTACGACAACAGCTCGGAGACCCCACATGCTACCTTCAGGGCCCTGCAACTGGAGTGGCATTGATCGCCCCGAGGCCTGGGTAAGACCACTTCTGTTGGTAAGTTCCCTGCATCTAGTCAACCTGACAAATGTCATGCTGCTTTGATTGCCTGAAATTGTTTCCTTTTGGCTCTCCTGTATAATTTTGTAAAGTTATTTTTGGAACTATCAGTTCAAGTCAACTCTTCAGGTGGGAACAGAGTGCACCGTGTAAATCTGTTGATGCCACAGGTTTAAAGCACAGGGGAGGATGGGGGAGGACCCACCCAGTGGCGGAGGGCGTACAGAGTCTGGGTTCCAAGATGAGAAAGCTCCATGCTGGGTTTTGCAGAGGCTGGCTCTTGACTGACTCTTCAAGATACTGGGCCTATGGTTAAGCTCTGGGATGTGAGCAATTAGAGATGGAATGTCTCGAGATCACTGTCCCCTCCTTGTTTCCAATTCCTCCCACTTCTCCCTTCTCAGCCACAGACCTTTCCTCTTGACACTTCCATCTTGAATCCCTTTCCTCCCTCCCCTTTAGATTCAGAATTTAGATGGTTCATGGTCCCTGGTGTTATTATTCTGGGGAAGCACTAGTGATTTACAACAGAGATGTCAAACCCATGTGCCTACAGGAACCAGACAGTTATGGAAATTAATAAAGCGGTTCAGCTGTAAATCAACATGAACAAAAACACCACCTCCTTGCCCTGTCTTTCAGTTCCCCACTTTTGATAGAAACTTGGGCGAAATAAAGGTTTTGCAATGGAAGAGAAACAACACTACCAGCCCAATTATTAGCTGACGTCAGACACCAGCCTCAACATTGGGAAGGTGATAAGGAGTGGTGAGGACMTGGGGGAACTGGAGGGAGACCTTGTGCCCCACCAGGGGGCAGCAGAGGGAGAGAGGATGACAGGGCTTTGCCCAGGGTTATCATTCGACTTCTCAAGGGAAGTTAGAAATCCAGGTTTTATGCTAAATCTCTCATTTTAAAATGTTGGCTAAATTTTATTAAAGCACCAGGCAGACTTAGCAAAACCCATCAGCATGCAGGCTCTATCAGCTTGAGTCTCTGATATGCCGCTCTCGTGTGCGTTAGCTGGAACCCTTCCCTGTGGCCAGTGTTGCCTGGTCTGGCCTCATAAGACCCAATGTTACCAGCACCCTCCATGCACTACACTGGGGGATCTTGGGTCCCAGGAACTTGTCCCCACCACCCTCATCTCATTCAGCATTCTCTCCAAAGGTCTTCACTCTTGCCTCTGCTCTTGGAGGCCATGGCTCAGCCTTGGCTGGTGACAGATCTCTCTGGAGATCCTCCTTATGTGGGGAAGCAGTTTGGTCCCCTTCTATGGRCTCCAGCCTCTGTGACCCTCTTTCTTCCATCCCCCCGACTCCATCACCTCTTCAGTCAGTCTTTCCATCATTACTTCCCCGAGCCACTGCAGCTCTGGGAGAGGAATTATTCTCCCAGTTCCGCTCATCACCTTCTGTCAGTCACCGCCGACCTCAGTCCCCAAGTCAGCTCCTGGCCTTCAGCATCCCACTCTTGCTCCCCAGAGAGACTCAGGTCCCGCAAAATGGGTTCCGGCTGAATGGGATTAGGCGAAAACGAGCTGTGCATTGGGGGCAAAGAAAGGTCTCCATGTTGGTGACATTTAAACTCCTGCAGATGTCAGTGCAGCATCTGAAGACATATTATTGTGCCCTTTATCTCGCTCTTTAAACCTGACAGTGCTCAGTGGGAAGCCACACAACTGAAGAGAAAGCTCAGTACCTACATTAGGAACATGCTGCAGATGCTCTGTGGGCTCGGCGACACGGCCCTGCAAGGCTGTCATGGGGGRAAAAAAAAGTAGGTTTAAAAAATTCTAAAAGTCAACTTAGGAGTTAGAAACTTTGCAACCGAGTGGAAAATCACGCTGACATTTATGGTACGCCGTTATAACTGCCGCGGCCCTGCTAATGGCTAACATTGAGAAACGGCAGCAGATGGACGGTAACTACAGCTGAAATACTTCTGGACTTCTGGAATAACAAAAAAAAAAAAAAAAAAGGCTATAAAATAGAGACGAGACGTTTCAGGTTGTAAGAGAAAATGATTTCCTTTGAGTATCACGCCTGGCTTCTGGTGATTATTTTGGAAGCTTCGAGGCGAATGTTTTAAGGTCACAACCTTCAGCCCCCCTTGATGGAGGACAGAGCCACAAGGCAGGCACTAACTTTTGGAATAATTAGTGGAATCACTTATTGATAGACTCTGGTCCTATATTAACACAGGACAGCTCTTGAAAGACAGAAGTGGAGAACCAAAAAGCTTGAGGATATAAAGGGAGTGCCCCTGTTTTTCAATAGACTTAAATTTTTACTAATCTATAAGTAAAGTCATCAACACATTGATTCTAAGGCTGGGGTCTGGGAAAGTACTTTCAGTCTCAAGGACCTTTCAGAAGTTACTAGCAGGTTGCATGTACACCCCACAGGCCCACGGTCAGCACCTCTGCAGGCCGGGCACAGGCTCTGTTCTCCCCAAACCTGCACCACCTTCCTTAACCCAGAAATCTGGGAGAAGACATTTTTGATGCTCTGTCTCCTAATCTGAGCCCTCAGATAAGACCAAGTAGCTGTAGTGCCTTGAACCCATCTCTAATCTGGATACTCGTTGCCATATCCATGTTCCACGTTTCTTCATAGAACTCTTTGCCATTGGTTATGGGCCAAATTGTGTCCCCACAATTCACATGACACAAATTCGTATGTCGAAGCCCTAGTCCCTAGTCTTTCACAGTGTGACTGTASTTGGGGAACAAAGGCCCTAAAAGAAGTGAATAAGTTAAAGTGAGGCTACTTTGTGGACCCTAATATAATCTAAATGGTGTCCTTACAGAAGGGGCAATTTGGACACCCAGAGCCACCAAGGACCTGCACCCAAGGAAAGTCCATGTGAGGACACAGTGAGAATGTGAACATCTACAAGCCCTGAGGAAAGGTCTTGGGAAAAACCAAACTTGTCAACATCCTGACCTTGGACTCCTAGCCTTGCGAACCATAAGAATATACACTTGAGTTGCTGAAGCCACCCAGTCTGGGCTATTGGCAGTCCCAGCAAAGCAACGTGCCATCTGTTGTATATCATAGAATCACCTCATTATGTGTTATATTTTCAGTCTCTTTCACTTTGATGGAAGCCATGAGGACAAAGAATGAATCAGTCTTACATTTCCATAAACCCAGAATAGTGCCTGGCGTTGGGCACATGCTCAGCAAACACCTGTTGGCTGATGAATGGTTGACTCTTTACCTCCCTGATCCAGGCCACCACTCCTCTTGCTCCAGAATGTTCTCCCTCATAGGTCTCCCCACCTTCTCTCTGGCCCTTCAACTCATTCTCCACAGAGCTCAAGTTCTCCTTTAAGAATAAACTAAGGTCATGCCAATTCCCAGCAGAACCCCCTCTAACACCACCTCCCTGCATTTAATATCCAAACTGCTCACAATGATGCCAAAGCCTCTGAGTGAACTCCTTCCTATGATTCACATCTTCAAAGACACCTCCCCTGACCACTCTACCTCAGGAGCCCTCTCGCCTGGCCATGTGTACTTATTACACTCTCAGCAGTTATCACTATCTGAAATCACTGAGTACTTATTTAATCTTAATTTTGTATTTAGTACCTACTCCCCCACTGGCTCTCCTGCTAATCAATACCAGGAGGACAAGGACCTTATCTTTCTTACCCAGAGAGTAAGAAATGTTCTTGAACACATAGCTCATGTTCAATAATTTACTTGTTGAAAGAAAGGATGAATAAATCCCTAAAGTCACCCTAGAGAAGGGAACTACTCAACTCCATGTGACCCGTGGGCTGCGGGTGCTCCTCTGGTGACCATACATCCTGCCAGTATATATCCATGCAGTCACCTGGAATGTCTCTGAGCCTACTCACTTTACAGGGCCCTCACATTGTGGTTTCTGGAAGTGTGTGCTTAAGCTGCCTAAGCACTGAGGTTGAACTCAGCCAAAGCTTATTACATAGGAATAAAACCAGGGTCACGTCTTCCTGAGTTATATCCCATGGCCCATTTGCTGGGTAACTGGCTCTCAGCAATTCTAAAACCATGCAATCCACACTCCTCTGCAGGAGCAGGAGGGGGAGGAGTAAGAGGAGGAGGGGGTTTTTAGGATAACCCTAAATCCATAGCAACCCCAATGAGAAAAGGATTCCAAGAGGAGTCGTGAGATTTTGGAGGTGGGAAGGCACCCAAATGTTCTCCAGAGAATGCTTTCCACTGAGATTTGAAGGGAAAAACAGGAAGCTTTTGCCTGTGATGGAAAACCATGAATCTCAGGCACAGCTGATCTGGTTGAAGACAGTTGACCCTGTCCAGCAAGAGACAGGGTCAAGGCTGGGTGCAATGCTTGAGGTGAAATTCTCACCAGAGCACTGAGTTCTGGGGTGCAGAGAGAGAAACCTCAGCCATGTTCTGCAGGGAAGAGCCAAGTTCAGGCACCCAGCACAAGCTATGAAGTAGGAACTCAGGTGGGTGCAAGGCAGGCAAGGCCTCTAGAAGGCATGTACCTGGGACTGGAGGTAGACATTTCAGGGAGCCTTCTGAGACTGGGGACTGGGCAGGGTTGTATGGGTTAAATGGGTCACAGGTAAGGCAGGCATCTCCTGATACAGTTGCCCAGTCTCAGGCCAAAGGTCTTTCTCCAATGGGCATCTGACACTGACTTCCAGGAGTTGAGGGAGGGAATGTTTAATCTGGCAATGGGCCCTCATCCTCATGTCCACTATCTACACCCTGAAGAGCTGGGGGATTTCTGACACCCTCTGCACCTGAGGCCTGGTTCAGCAGAGACACTTCCCAGACATGACTGAATGGGCAGACCCATCCACCTCAAGGAGTGACCCAGAGAGAGCAGGGACCTTAAGCCAAGGCAGTGGAGGGTCTAGAGGAACCTCAGAATCCCTGAGATGCTGGCCGATTCCTTGGGAAGAGAGTCCCTTTTCCATAGACACCAAACCTAGGTTCCCAAAATAATGTCTGGAACTTGTCCCAAGTTCCTCCAGAGAAGGTGCTCCAAGACGAGGAGGCCATCCCTGGCATTCCAGTGCAAGAAGAGGGAGGAAAGCCATGTTGAAGGTCTTCCAAACTCACTTCAGCAGATGGGCMAAGAATCATTTCAATAACAGCAACACGGATGGGTCTCGGAGGAGAACAGTCCCCGAATGGAAGCACTAAAAGGGACATAAAGAGAGCATGCATGACAGCTCTTGAGGTGTGACGAACTACACCACGGCCCAGGGCGTAACTGCTGAGGCTGGAATGTGGCTTATCCCCCTGAAGTCATGTAGGAACTTAATCCCCAAAGCCATATGTTAGTGGCACACCGAGGGTTGAAACTGAGTCCAACTGTGGTGTTCACAAGAGAAGCTCGTGGAAAGTGGTTATATTTAGATAAGGACATTAGGATGAAGTACTTATAATTGAATCCTGGTGGCTTTATAAGAAAAAGGAACGGAAACCAGGCATACACATGTGCAATCTCTGTCCCTTTATGAAGACATAAAGATTGCATGTGATGTTCTTCACTCCATCAAGAACCTGGCAGCAAGGAGGCCATCACCAGAACTAAGCCAACACCAGCAGCATGCCCTTACACTTCCAAAACTGTGAGTCAAATAAACCTCTTTTCTTTTTTAAAAAATTTATTTTAATTAGGTATATATGGCAGMAGAATGCATTTTGATTCATTGTACATAACTGAAGCACAATTTTACATTTCTATGGTTGTACATGATGTAGTGTCACACCATATATGCAATCATACATGTACCTAGGGTAATGATGTCCACCTCATTCCACCATATTTCCTACCCCCATGCCTTTCCCACCCCTCCCTCCCTTTTGCCCCATTAAAGTTCCTCCATTTTTCCCATGTCCCCCCCACCCCATTATGAATCAACATCCACTTATCAGAGAGAATATTCGGCCTTTGGTTTTGGGGGATTGGCTTACTTCACTTAGCATAATATTCTCCTACTCCTACCTGCAAATGCCATAATTTTATTCTCTTTTAATGCTGAGTAATATTCCATACACACACATCGGATGGAGCACTAATCTCCAGAATATATAAAGAACTAAAAAATCTTAACACCAAAAAAACCAAACAATCCAATCAATAAAAGGACTAAGGAGTTGAACAGACATTTCTCGGAAGAAGATATACATTCCATCAACAAATATATGAAAAAATATTCAACATCTCTAGTAATTAGAGAAATGTAAATCAAAACTAAGATTTCATCTCACGACAGTCATCAAGAATACAGACAATAATAAATTTTGGCAAAGATGTGGGGGGGAAAGACACACTCATTTCTTGCTGGTCGGACTGCAAATTGGTGTGGCCAATCTGGAAAGCAGTATGGAGATGCCTTAGAAAACTTGGAATGGAACCACCATTTGACGCAGCTATCCCCCACCTCAGTATATACCTAAAGGACTTAAAATCAGCAAACTACAGCAATGCAGCCACATCAATGTTTATAGCAGCTCAATTCACAATAGCTAAACTGTGGAAGCAACCTAGATGCCCTTCACTAGATGAATGAATAAACCTCTTTTCTTTATAAAGTTAACCTGCCTCAGGATTCCATTATCGTAACAAAAAGTGGAATAGCACTGTGACTCTTGATCATATGGAGACAGTAGAGAGAGACCCACTAGAGGTTACCTAGACCTCAGAGCTTCCAAGAAATTGATGGAGCATTAATGAACTATGGGGTTTCCATAATCCCCTTACATATCCCTTTGATTACAGTCTACAAACAAATGTCTCTAGACATGATAACTTGCTAAAGGACTTGGCTCCTCTTTGACTCGGCAGGAACCCCATCTTCCTGCTGAAACCACATCTAAATATCTTAGGCTAGACACTACAGAGGGAACTTCAAGGGGAAAGTGGATGGGTACAGAGGAGTGGGATGGCTGTGGGGACTCTTGATACTGTGCCATAAGTACTAAACCACTCCAGGAAATTCCTCCCCACGCCTACATAGAGCTGATGAGTATATTTAAAATTATTTTTAAAGAATTAATAGTTTTGGGGTACTTTTCCCTGTGAGTGAACAGTGCTAATTTCTCCGTGTTTTGGTGGTGTTCTTTTTTTAAGACAATTGCATAAGATTCTATCCAAAGCCCTCTAATTCTTCCACTTCAGTGGACTGAATCCCACTAATAAACAATCAGGACTTTAGACTCCCTTAATAATGGAGAGAGATTCAAACTAGGACGTTTTGCCACTCTCTGCAAATTCCTGGAGGTGCTGCCTGTTGAACAGGCCGGCAAAATTATGGATTTATTCAGGACTGATTGCATTGGGTATGTAAGCATTTTTGAAGGATTAAGAGAGAAAGAGAGAGAGAGAGAGACTGAGAGATGTTTGTGAGCTGAATGAATAGAGAAAGTTGCATCCTCTGAGCTACCCAGTGTGGCTGGAGCAGGGCTGTGCAGAGAGGAGGAGATGAACTTACTGCATGGATGAGCCAGGACCCGGACCTCGTCCACAGCGATGTAGCCAGGATGACCCTTCAAAGAGACGGATTCAAATATCACCTGCAACACACACAGGGCGGGAGTCAATTTTGCAGAAGCCATTGTAGACATTCATCTTAGGAAGCTGCCCAGCCCCCAATCCCTTCATGCTTCTGCTTCCCATCAGAACCGACCTAAGAGACCTCACTATAGGACAGCACGCCACCCTGGTCGCCAACTCGGATTTTCAAAACAAGGCAGAAAGGCCACACTCTGGTGACTAGCAAAGGGAGTCAGCCACATGGAACGTTTTTAATGGGTTTCAGAAATGACACTTAGATGCAGGAAAAGCCAAACATGGAATGGACCCCCCACTCTGCACTTTTCCTATTCTGGTTTCCCATGAAGCACAGGGAAGAACTACTTCCTAATACCCCAACCACCTTATGCAGAGTGAGAAAAAATGTCTACTTGGAAGCTAGCATAAGCCAATGAGGTTTAGCCTGATTTGATCCTATATTCCCAATGAACATGATCCAGATGACTTCTTAAGAACACCTTTTAAAAATAAGCAGCAGGAGCTGGGATTGTGGCTCAGCAGTAGAGCACTTGCCTAGCACGGGTGGGACCCGGGTTCGATTCTCAGCACCACATAAAAATAAAGGCATTGTGTTGTGTCCATCTACAAAAAAGATTTATATTATCTATCTCTCTCTCTCTCTCTCTCAAAAAAAAAAATAAAAATAAAAAATAAAAAAATAAGCAGCAAACTGCATCTTGATTTCCAAAAGTAGAGGCAAAAAATTCTTGGAATTCTCCCCTCTGACTCCCACCTGAATTGTTAAGATCCATATATATATATTTTTAAATTCAGTTCACAGCTTCCTTCACCATGGAAACTCTATCTTTGCTAAAGCCACATGAATATCTGCGTGGGCAACATGGCCATCAGCCTCCCAAGTTCTGATGGCCTTTTGCTCCAATCCAACTCAGCGGCAGTCCCCTGCAGAACTTGGGATGATCTCCTGCCCCACAGTCCTCTCCCAGCTCCCTGCTCTTCAACCTACTCCTCAGGCTCATAAGGTACCTGGACCTCTTACTTTTTCCAGAGTCTATAATTCACCTGGAGCTTTCTTCGTTCTCAGCAAGTCCGGGTGGCCCCCAGTATGTTGGCTAATCATCCCTATAATTCTCTCCTTAAGTTCCAATTCCTCTGAACCTTTATTTGAACTTTGCCAAGCCATCACAAGTCTGTCTTCCCTACTCCCCAATCTCACAAACGTTCCTCTCTCAGCATCTACCCATCCCAACCCCAGCAGACATGCCATCTTCAAGAGGCAAGAGGATGGGGAGGGGCTGACATCTCACTTCTCACCCACACACCTAATCTTCATGCACACCAACTCCAATCTCATCTCTGCAAGGAACGCCAAGGCTCTTGACCCGTGACTACCTCTGCCTGTTCCAGCTTCTTGGTTCTTCTTGGTTATCTCTCTATCCTGCTCTATCCTACATCCTCAAACCCTCCCTTATGTCCCTGACCTTAACATATATATATTCTTAGACAACTCCTATTCTTAAAAAACTACCTGCCTTGTTGTGGTAGGTTATTCTCTATCACCAGTCAAATAACACTTCCCAATTGTTTCAACCACCAGTCACTCCCAACACTTCCTTCTTCCCACAGAAAAACTTGAACCTGCTATATAATCTGGATTCTGTCTCCAACACACCCCCCAAACTATTTTTATGATAAGTACTAATAATCTCCTAATTGCTAAATCCAGTAGGTATTGTTTCCAGTCTTTGTCTTGCTTTAAGAAAGAAGACGGTGGAATACTTGAGCTTGGAATCAGAACGCCTAGGTGGCTGCCCTGGCTGGGCCACTTACCAATGTGTGACCTTGGGCAAGGGACCTTCCTGCTCTGTGCCTTCTGTAATTATGGTGTCTGCCTCATTGGGCAATTTTTTCAATTACGGGAATTAACACTCAACTTAGAACAATGGCATGTTCTCACTAAATGTCTATTAAGACTGCTATTACTACTTGAAAATTCTTCTACAATTGTCAGAGTTCTCCCTTTCTGGATCTTTCTACTTGTTAGGCTCAGGGGACACTCACTCTCATGGCTTCTCCCATACATCTGGGACTATTCGATCATGAGTGGCCTCCTCTGTTTCTCTATGTCCTGGATATACCTTCAAACACTGCCATCCACTGATGACCTCAGGGGCATCTCTGCACCCTAGACCTCCCACCTGAACATCAAGCTCACAAGTTTATATTTCCACCTCGATATCACATTGATGCCTCAAATGCAACTCTTATGCATCAGATCTAGAAGCACCCTCTCAAAACTTTTCCAGAATCGCCTGGTGGGCCATTCTTCCTGAAATACAAAACTCAGCAGGTGGCACTATGACCCTCTTGAGTAAACTGGGGATCTGGTCTTCTCCTTCTGCCTCATCCCCCACCTCAGTTTCTTTCTGATTTGACATTATTGGCATTTCTCAAATCTGTCCCTCTCCTTCCATCTCTGCTCTCAGAATGGACCACAGGAAATAACCTTTTATCCATCAAGTCAGACCTCAGTGCCCCTGTTCTGGCACAACCTGCCATGTTTTCTCATTTCTGTCACCGAGGCAGCTTCCAAAATGGAGCCTCTCCCAACTGTCTTTTAGTCCTCCCTTCAAGCCTATGAATGGACTGTCAGGTGGGGACAGACCCACCAAAAAAGCTCCCTGTAGAATGTTTTTGTGGACCACATGGTCCAGGCCAGTGGATTCAACACTGTGTCCTTGGTGGGACCTGGAGCTCCAGCAGAGAGCAGCAAACTGGTGGAGAAGGTTGTAACATTGCAAAGAGGCAGTGTCCCCAGGAGGTAAGACCTATCTACAAAGCACCAGGTGGCTGCCTGGGAATTATGTGAAGTGACTGGGGGAAAAAGTCACACAGAACACAACAGCTGCACAAGCATGCCTATGCCTCACAAAGAGTGTTCCCCAAGAGAGCAGGGTCCTTCAGAGAGAAGGAGCCAACAAAATTGTGCAGGAGAGGAGGAAGCTTGCAAAAACGTAAGGGCCACAGCCACCTCATTCTGCACAAGGGTGAATCAACACAAGGCCTTTTTACACATGAGCAAGTGTAGTTTCCTTTTTCAAAATTAACGGGAAACCAAAAGCAAACGTTCATTAAAAAGTTGGAAGAAAATAGAACATATAAAGGAAATGCATTTAAAGCAAAGCTTGAAAGTAGTCAAACTCGGTAATGAAAATGACAGAAGAAAAATATTTGTTTTGACAATAAATATAAATGGGTTAAAACAGAGAAAAGCTCCCAGACTGTCTAAATAATCAAAGTCTAATTGTATGCTATAAGATAAACACCTAAAACAGAATGACTCAGTAACCTTAAAAATAACAAGCTGAACAAAGACATAATAAGAAAATGCAAATAAACAGAAAACAGTTGTTGCAGAAATCATGTGAATGCCTCAAAGTAGAATGTTAACCAAAAAAGAAAAAGAAAAACCACTAAGTGGACTAAAATTATCATTGAAAAAAGATACATGAGGCAACAGACTTAAAATGGAAAAATAATGGGGGAAAAAACAGTATTTGAAGGCTTTAAACCATGTCTTAGCCTCTGATCAAGTAAAGAAAGCAAAGATATCTAGCATATATCTTATATAGTCTTATATGCTCCATATTTATAACTAATGCATATAAACACATATAATATGATGTAAATAATAATGTATTTATTAGGGAGAGTGAAATTTCTGTTCAAACGCTCATGGATTTACAAAAAGATCATAAACTAGACCACAGTATAACCTCAATAAGTCTCTCAAGAAAATTGCCATTATTTTCTAGTTCTAATAAATTTGGCCGGAAAATGTATGGCCCCAAACCTGTACAAACTCCTAAAAATCAATTTCTTAAAGGTTATGCAATCTCTTCTTAATAACAATGATGCCAATGTATGTTTTGTGTGTTAACAGACATCAGAAACAAAATCATAAGTCAAAGGACAAGCTGAGAACAATGCTCGAGATGTGCACACCAGCTACTCATATTATATTCATATTATATTCCTTGTGTATGAAAAGAACTCGTGACAATCAAACAAGAAATGGACGAAACCTCCAAAAGAAAAACTGGCAGGTAATGCACAAAAGACAAAGTAGGAATGGCACTTATCTATGAATGCCAATTTTCTTAAGTGACACAGGAGATGGCAGAAGGTACCCCAGAACTCATATGCAGCCTTGGGTYGAGATGATTGTCCTGTCGGTGTGCTTCACCGTGGGGCTCTAGATCTCAGAACGTCTCCACCCAAGACCTAGCCATCTCCAGTTCTTGGAGACAGATACCACAGAGAGACAGGAGGAAGGCAGGACCTTCTAAAATGCAAAGAACTGCCTGGGAGTTCCAGAGAGAGAGAGAGAGAGAGAGAGAGAGAGATAGAGAGAGGGAGGGAGGGAGGGAGGGGKGGGTCATCTCTAATCAAGCACATTCACAAGGAAACTTGAACCAGGCTCTGGAGAAATGAAACTCACAATTAGGGGAAGAGATAGTGGAGGAAGCAGAGAACCCTGCTGTCCCCAGAAGGCATGGAGAGTTGGTGACAAGAACTGAATGAAGAAGGCCATGCATACCCAGTGGGGCTCACATCAGCACATGGAAACAGAGACCCCAAGTGCAGGGATCAGAGCAAAAGGCAGAGGCTGGGAATCCCAACTTCTCTGAAGAACTTTCTTGAACCCTAAGGTTGCCAGGTGGACCTATGCTCACCTGCACACAGCCTCGTCCTAGAGCCCCACTGAGACCTCCTGCTGCAGGTACTGAGGAGATGGCGCTTGCATAGAAAGAGGCAAACCTCTCCTTCTGCTCAAGGAATCACGCAAGCCAGGAAGTAACTGCCTAACACAGGCTCAGCAGAGATGGTCACATTCAACCTCTCAAAAAGATGGGTCGTGTACATATTGCAGGGGTTGGGGGTGTTTTTTGGATACATTACACATTTGGTTTAAAGGACTTGGTGCTTTATCCTTATCTTTTGTAGTTCTTGAGCAGAA